AGAGCAAGCCATACTTAGTGTTTTTCGTTGAGCTTTTTCTCCTTATTTCTTATATTTAGCTATAATAGCTATAATAGAAAACTTTTTCCTAAGTAATACTTTGATAAATATACAGTTATAAGTAAATGAAATTATTTTTGAAGCAGTAACAACAAATTATTCACTTAAAGGGAAGCTTTTTTATGTCCCTCTCTGGAGCGCAGCGTAAATTTAAGTTTTACGTAAGGACTTATTGAAACCTCCATGGAGTCAGTAAACTTTTATATTGATCGTTTATTCAGCTTGAATACTTCATTTACTCATTTATTTTTACTTTTCTATCATAAATGAGTAAAAGTTCCCCTAAAATTTGGATTTATTGGCCTAAAAAGTTGGAATTTTGAGGAAATGAGAGGTATAAATGGACAAAAAGGGACCTTATAATGAAGACAAACAGGTCCATTAGTGGTATTTATCATCCTAGAGTCACCTGTTGTATCGTATTCAACTGTTTTTATGCAGATGAGATCAATATTTGATCATATATTATACCATGATGCAGCTTGATTTTGATTTTTCGAAGAAATTTTGCTAGAATCGCTGTAGATGTCGTCTTACATTATACTAGATTTTTCTCAAACTATTGAACTGATTATGACAAAACTTGATAGTAAGGCTTCAAATGACCAGTATTATAAAGTAAAAAAATCACATTTAGTTTATTCAACAATAAAGTCTTCTTTAGGTGTAATACCACCAAATCATAGTACGTCACATCCGCTTGCATACAACAAAGGATAAAAAAAAATATTCTTTTAATTTTGATAGTAGTAGGAAATTAATCCTACATTTCATCGCAGTAATAAAATTCTGAGTCATAAACATGTATTTTTGGTGTTTCAAAGCCCAATTCTTTTTTATTCCCTATCTAGGGGCATTATGTTTTCCGGTCTTTGTGTCCGTTCGTCTGTCCGTCCGTCTGTCTCGCTTCAGGTTAAAGTTTTTATTTAACATTGTTTAAGGAAGTTTTTGGTGAAGTTGAAGTCCAATCAACTTGAAACTTAGTACACATGTTCCTTGTGATATGATCTTTCTAATTTTAATGCCAAATAGAGTTTTGACCACAATTTCACGGTCCACTGAACATAGAAATGATAGTGCGAGTGAAGCATCCATGTACTATGGACACTTGTTTTATTTGATGTTCCTCTATAGAATATTTTGGAAACTTGAGGTTACATGGTTACTAAAGCTTGTACATAGGAAAACAAGAGGTGAACATTTAATTGGTTAACTTCCAGGGATGGTTATTATCTTAAATGCAATGAAATGTTATGTGAACTTTTGTCTGTAGTACTGGACAGGATAAAACTTTACTCATGCCAAGTATTTCTTTATTTGAAACAAAGTTAAATTCTGCACATTGTTTTGAAAAGTGCAAATTCAACAAAGACTATATATCTAATAGGGGAAAAACAATGGTGGTATTACACCTCCAAAAGTTGACAGAGACATAATCAATACAAATAATAACAAGTGTGAGGTCAAGGAATACTAGAATAAACTACAGTTTGAATATTGGATAATTTCCATTAAAAAAATTGAAAACAACACGTTTAATAATTCCATGTGTTCAAAACGCTTTTCTTGACTTACCTTCAACAGGAATGATCAAAGCCAAATATTTGAAAGCCGAGGATGTATAAAGTTCAAAGGTGCATTCACAATAAACTTGCAAATAAACAAAAAGTAAATTCAAAAACAACCTGTACACTTTAAGCTATATCTCTCTATTACTCTGGGCCACACATTTGTGTGAAAAATATGAAAATGTTTTCGATATATATTATATAATTGTACTAGTGCATATTCCTCATTTTTCAGTCTGTTATGTCCGAGAAATCTTCAAATATGACTGCTGGACTAAAGAAAGAAGGTATTTTTTTAACTGTATATCATTATTACATATATCGTCGCTGGGCTTCCAAAATGCTGTATATGAATTATTTTGGTAAAACTACCCTGAAATTTTTGTTTGGTTGCTGCCCCTGAATTATTAACTATAAGGAAATTTTGCAGTTTTTGGTTATTATCTGGAATATTATTATAGATAGAAATAAACTGTAAACAACAATGATGTTCATCAAAGTAAGATCTACAAATAATTCAACATGACCAAAATTGTCAATTGACCCTTAAGGAGTTATTGCCCTTTAAAGTCAATTTTTAACAATTTTTTGTAAATTTTTGTAATATTTTACAAAAATGTTCTCCTCTGAAACAACTGACACAAAAAAATTATAGGCAACCCTACAGCCTTTAACAATGAGAAGAAAATCCTTACTGTATAGTTTGCTATGAAAGGCCCGAGAAGCAATTTAATTGAAAAAGCTAACAGCCTATTTCTGTTATTTTTAAACTGACGTCTTTCACGTTTGGACAGGTCTAATTCATCTACGAAATAAAAATCATAGGGAAATATGAAAAAAAGGAAAAAAAACTTCATGTAATGGGATTTTAACATAAGTTTCGTTTCTCAAAATTATTTACGTAAACAACATTTTAAGGTCAGTTTCGATTGTCGTTATCAAGGCACACAAACACTATGGATAAATTAAAATGTTTAGTCTTTTAGAAATATTTTAACGAGCTAAAATAACGCATTCAAATTCAGGAAAATGTTGCTGCGCAGAGTTTTTTTAAAATTTCAGTTAATATGTATTTGTTAGGGTCTGCAGGATTAAATAAAGCATGAAATGTCAAATATTTTTCTGAACATCAGAAAAATAGTGTCGGCAGATCTGTAAACCAACAAATAAAAAAAACAATGGAATTGTGTTAACTGTCATACAAGTTTCAGGCTTGACACACTTAACGTCTGGTTCCATCTACTTCTTGTATTCAATTGTGCATATAAAATATCAAGTTATTACAAGTCAATCGTCAATAGTTTGAAGAGTTTTTCACAAATCACTTTGAAACCGGTCCCTGGATGAAGGATTTTCTCGCTGTGTTGAAGACCCACAAATGGTGGCCGGTTGGTGTTTTACCCTCTTGTGGGGTTGTTGTCTCTTTGACACATCCCCAAATACCATTCTCAATTGTATTTTTGCAGTATATATGAACATTTATTATACCCCACGCAACGAGTTGCGGAGGGTATAATGTTTTTGACCCGTCCGTCTGTCCGTCCGTCTGTCCGTCCGTCAGTCCTGTTTCTTGTCATCGCAACTCCTCTCAAACCACACAACAGAATTTAACGAAACCTTTTTAGATAATAAGGACATACTATGTAGTTGTGCATATCGACAGGAAATTACGATTTAATTTTTTTTCTAGGAGTTACGCCCCTTTGAACTTATTTACTTTAATGTACTACTGCAATAGTTTGTCATCTCAACTCCTCTGAAACCACACAACAAAATTTCATAAAACTTTGTAGATAATAAGGACATACTACGTAGATGTGCATATCGACAGGAAATTACGTTTCAATTTTCTTCCAAGAGTTACGCCCCTTTGAACTTATTTGCCCAATATACTACTGCAACCTTTTGTCATCGCAACTCCTCTCAAACCACACAATAGAATTTCATGAAACCTTTTCAGATAATAAGGACATACTACGTAGATGTGCATATCGACAGGAAATTACGATTCAATTTTTTTTCTAGGAGTTACGCCCCTTTGAACTTATTTGCCTCAATATACCTCTGCAACAGTTTGTCATCGCAACTCCTCTGAAACCACACAACAGAATTTCATGAAACATTTTAGATAATAAGGACATACTAGGTAGATGTGCATATCGACAGGAAATTGTGATTCAATTTTTTTTCTAGGAGTTACGCCCCTTTGAACTTATTTACTTTAATGTACTACTGCAACAGTTTGTCATCTCAACTCCTCTGAAACCACACAACAAAATTTCATGAAACTTTGTAGATAATAAGGACATACTATATAGATGTGCATATCGACAGGAAATTACGATTCATATTTTTTTCCAGGAGTTACGCCCCTTTGAACTTATTTGCCCAATATACTACTGCAACCTTTTGTCATCGCAACTCCTCTCAAACCACACAATAGAATTTCATGAAATCTTTTCAGATAATAAGGACATACTCCGTAGATGTGCATATCGACAGGAAATTACGATTCAATTTTTTTTCTAGGAGTTACGCCCCTTTGAACTTATTTGCTTCAATATACCTCTGCAACAGTTTGTCATCGCAACTCCTCTGAAACCACACAACAGAATTTCATGAAACTTTGTAGATAATAAGGACATACTATGTAGATGTGCATATCGACAGGAAATTATGATTCAATTTTTTTTTCTTATACAATTTTTTTTTCTTACAGTTATTTTATTTCTCCAGTGACAATGTGGGGACGTGGGGTATGTGAGCGCGCTCACTAAGGTTCTTTAATTATTAGAATGATTTAATATAAATAAGGTCTTTCCTTTCCTCAAAGGGACACAAACTTAATTGACAATGTTGAAAACACATTATTAGGTATAACTCTGAAACAAAAGATGCTAGACCAATGCGGTCTATTGAAATGGCATCTGGGACTGATGACCTTGAAAAATATCAAAGATCAAGGTCACAACCTAGATAATGAATTTTGTACTTATGATCCTATTTTAAGTATTTTTTAACGCAATTCAGTGCACTCTGCGTCTATTTGAATGCATGAAAGGGAAATGAAAGACCTCTCAATTGTCCATTAACAATTGAAATTTTATTGTCATTCACTTTTCAAAGCTAGAAAAGTATAAAAATGTTTCCTGTTTAAAATTTCATCTGAACTTCAATATGACTTCCATATTTGACTTCTATTGATTCCTTATAGATACACCAGCAACAATCAATCAAACCATGACATGGATTTTTTAATGGGTTGTTTTATGAAAAATATTGAAAACAAACTTTTAAACCAGTGAACAAGTTTATTGAACTTGGACTAAATGTATATTTTATAGAAACAGTTATAATTACAGATCCAATCCTCACACAGACAAAGTCCGCTATGTTAAATAGGTTACTTGGCAGTGGAACGTATGATTCCTATGACATGCGCTGTATGGTGACAGGCCAGTTCGGGGTCGGAAAATCGAGTCTTGTCAAGCTCCTAGCTGGTGATGTCATCCCAGAAGGAAGACATCCTACCGATGGGATTTCCCTTATAGAAGGTCGCTGTGGCCTTGATGTTGAGACTAAAAGCTGGATTTATATTGATCCAGGTAAGAATATGTACAACATTAAAACTTTTCTTTTAAATTTGAATATCTCTTTAGTATCTTCCACCTCTCTATTAGCTTCAGAATCAGGTAATCTTTATAACTTGAAAAGTTAAGCATGTAAAATACTGTACCAAATTCTGTCAACAAATTTAACACATTAATTTAAGCACTTCATCAGCCCAGTCTTAAAACAAACAATCATTTAACACTTTGATTCAGTAATTTGTTGTTTGTTACTCTTATTATAATTCTACTAATACCTTCCAAGTTAAATATGCACAACATTCATTATCAATGTACATCCAGGTGATTGTACGGGGAGAACATAGATGTATAGAGTATATAGCATGTATCTACTAGTCATCCAGGGTATTGTATGGGGAGAACATAAATGTATAGAGTTTACAGTATGTATCTCCCAGTTATCCAGGTTATTATACGGGGAGAACATAGAGGTATAGAGTATGCAGTATGTATCTCCTAGTCATCCAGGGTGTTGTACGGGGAGAACATAGATGTATATAGTATGTATCTCCTAGTCATCCAGGTTATTGTACAGGGAGAACATAGATGTATAGAGAATGCAGTATGAATCTCCCAGTCATCCGGGGTATTGTATTGGGAGATCATAGATGTATAGAGTATGCAGCATGTATCTCCCAGTCATCCAGGTTATTGGATGGGGAGATCATAGGTGTATAGAGTATGCAGTTTGTATCTCCCAGTCATCTAGGGTATTATATGGGGAGATCATAGATGTATAGAGTATGCAGTATGTATCTCCCAGTCATCCAGGGTGTTGTATGGGGAGAACATAGATGTATAGAGTATGCAGTATGTATCTCCCAGTCATCCAGGGTATTGTTCTGGGAGAACATAGATGTATAGAGTATACAGTATGTATCTCCTAGTCATCCAGGGTGTTGTACGGGGAGATCATAGATGTATAGAGTATACAGTATGTATCCCCCAGTCATCAACGTTGTTGTACGGAGAGAACATAGATGTATAGAGTATGCAGTATGTATCTCCCAGTCATCCAGGATATTGTACGGGGAGAACATAGATGTATAGAGTATGCAGTATGTATCTTCCAGTTATTCAGGGTATTGTACGGGGAGAACATAGATGTATAGAGTATACAGTGTATCTCCCAGTCACCCAGGTTGTTGTACGGGGAGAACATAGATGTATAGAGTATGCAGTATGTATCTCCCAGTCATCCAGGTTATTTTACGGGGAGAACATAGATGTATATAGTATGCAGTATGTATCTCCTAGTCATCCAGGGTGTTGTACGGGGAGAACATAGATGTATATAGTATGTATCTCCCAGTCATCCAGGGTATTTTACGGGGAGAACATAGATGTATAGAGTATACAGTGTATCTCCCAGTCACCCAAGTTGTTGTATGGGGAGAACATAGATGTATAGAGTATGCAGTATGTATCTCCCAGTCATCCAGGTTATTGTACGGGGAGAACATAGATGTATATAGAATACAGTATTAATCTCCCAGTAATCCAGGTTATTGTACTAGGAGAACATAGATGTATATAGTATGCAGTATGCATCCCCTAGTCATCCAGGGTATTGTTCAATATTGTATGGGTAGAACATAGATGTATAGAGTATACAGTATGTATCTACCAGTCATCCAGGTTGTTGTACGGGAAGAACATAGATGTATAGAGTATACAGTATGTATCTCCTAGTCGAACAGGGAGTTGTACTTGGAGAACACTGATGTATAGAGTATGCAGTATGTATCTCCCAGTCATCCAGGGTATTGTATGGGGAGATTATAGATGTATATAGTATGCAGTATGTATCTCCTAGTCATCCAGGGTGTTGTACTGGGAGAACATAGGTGTATAGAGTATGCATTATGTATCTTATTGTCATCCAGGGTATTGTACTGGGAGCACATTGATGTATATAGTATGTAGTGTGTATCTCCCAGTCATCCAGGTTAATGTACGGGGAGAACATAGATGTATAGAGTATGCAGTATGTATCTCCCAGTCATCCAGGTTGTTGTACAGGGAGAACATAGATGTATGGAGTATGCAGTATGTATCTCCCAGTCATATAGGGTATTGTACGGGGAGAACATAGATGTATATAGTATGCAGTATGTGTCTCCTAGTCATCCAGGTTATTGTACGGGGGGAACATAGATGTATAGAGTATACAGTATGTATCTCCCAGTCATCCTGGATGTTGTACGGAGAGAACATAGATGTATAGTGTATGCAGTATGTATATTCCAGTCATCCAGGTTGTTGTACGGGGAGAACATAGATGTATGGAGTATGCAGTATGTATCTCCCAGTCATATAGTGTATTGTACGGGGAGAACATAGATGTATATAGTATGCAGTATGCATCTCCTAGTCATCCAGGATATTGTTCAATATTGTATGGGTAGAACATAGATGTATAGAGTATACAGTATGTATCTACCAGTCATCCAGGTTGTTGTACGGGAAGAACATAGATGTATAGAGTATACAGTATGTATCCCCTAGTTATCCAGGGAGTTGTACTTGGAGAACATTGATGTATAGAGTATGCAGTATGTATCTCCCAGTCATCCAGGGTATTGTATGGGGAGATTATAGATGTATATAGTATGCAGTATGTATCTCCTAGTCATCCAGGGTGTTGTACTGGGAGAACATAGGTGTATAGAGTATGCATTATGTATCTCCTAGTCATCCAGGGTATTGTACTGGGAGCACATTGATGTATATAGTATGTAGTGTGTATCTCCCAGTCATCCAGGTTATTGTACGGGGAGAACATAGATGTATAGAGTATGCAGTATGTATCTCCCAGTCATCCAGGTTGTTGTACAGGGAGAACATAGATGTATGGAGTATGCAGTATGTATCTCCCAGTCATATAGGGTATTGTACGGGGAGAACATAGATGTATATAGTATGCAGTATGTATCTCCTAGTCATCCAGGGTATTGTACGGGGGGAACATAGATGTATAGAGTATACAGTATGTATCTCCCAGTCATCCAGGTTGTTGTACGGGGAGACCATAGATGTATAGTGTATGCAGTATGTATATTCCAGTCATCCAGGTTGTTGTACGGGGAGAACATAGATGTATGGAGTATGCAGTATGTATCTCCCAGTCATATAGTGTATTGTACGGGGAGAACATAGATGTATATAGTATGCAGTATGCATCTCCTAGTCATCCAGGATATTGTTCAATATTGTATGGGTAGAACATAGATGTATAGAGTATACAGTATGTATCTACCAGTCATCCAGGTTGTTGTACGGGAAGAACATAGATGTATAGAGTATACAGTATGTATCCCCTAGTTATCCAGGGAGTTGTACTTGGAGAACATTGATGTATAGAGTATGCAGTATGTATCTCCCAGTCATCCAGGGTATTGTATGGGGAGATTATAGATGTATATAGTATGCAGTATGTATCTCCTAGTCATCCAGGGTGTTGTACTGGGAGAACATAGGTGTATAGAGTATGCATTATGTATCTCCTAGTCATCCAGGGTATTGTACTGGGAGCACATTGATGTATATAGTATGTAGTGTGTATCTCCCAGTCATCCAGGTTATTGTACGGGGAGAACATAGATGTATAGAGTATGCAGTATGTATCTCCCAGTCATCCAGGTTGTTGTACAGGGAGAACATAGATGTATGGAGTATGCAGTATGTATCTCCCAGTCATATAGGGTATTGTACGGGGAGAACATAGATGTATATAGTATGCAGTATGTATCTCCTAGTCATCCAGGGTATTGTACGGGGGGAACATAGATGTATAGAGTATACAGTATGTATCTCCCAGTCATCCAGGTTGTTGTACGGGGAGAACATAGATGTATAGTGTATGCAGTATGTATATTCCAGTCATCCAGGTTGTTGTACGGGGAGAACATAGATGTATGGAGTATGCAGTATGTATCTCCCAGTCATATAGTGTATTGTACGGGGAGAACATAGATGTATATAGTATGCAGTATGCATCTCCTAGTCATCCAGGATATTGTTCAATATTGTATGGGTAGAACATAGATGTATAGAGTATACAGTATGTATCTACCAGTCATCCAGGTTGTTGTACGGGAAGAACATAGATGTATAGAGTATACAGTATGTATCCCCTAGTTATCCAGGGAGTTGTACTTGGAGAACATTGATGTATAGAGTATGCAGTATGTATCTCCCAGTCATCCAGGGTATTGTATGGGGAGATTATAGATGTATATAGTATGCAGTATGTATCTCCTAGTCATCCAGGGTGTTGTACTGGGAGAACATAGGTGTATAGAGTATGCATTATGTATCTCCTAGTCATCCAGGGTATTGTACTGGGAGCACATTGATGTATATAGTATGTAGTGTGTATCTCCCAGTCATCCAGGTTATTGTACGGGGAGAACATAGATGTATAGAGTATGCAGTATGTATCTCCCAGTCATCCAGGTTGTTGTACAGGGAGAACATAGATGTATGGAGTATGCAGTATGTATCTCCCAGTCATATAGGGTATTGTACGGGGAGAACATAGATGTATATAGTATGCAGTATGTATCTCCTAGTCATCCAGGGTATTGTACGGGTGGAACATAGATGTATAGAGTATACAGTATGTATCTCCCAGTCATCCAGGGTGTTGTACGGAGAGAACATAGATGTATAGAGTATACAGAATGTATCTCCTTGTCATCCAGGGTGTTGTACGGGGAGAACATAGATGTATATAGTATGTATCTCCCAGTCATCCAGGTTGTTGTACGGGGAGAACATAGATGTATAGATTATACAGTATGTATCTCCCAGTCATCCAGGATATTGTACGGGGAGAACATAGATGTATATAGTATGCAGTATGTATCTCCTAGTCATCCAGGGTGTTTTACCTGGGAGAACATAGGTGTATAGAGTATACAGTATGTTTCTCCTAGTCATCCAGGGTATTGTACTGGGAGCACATAGATGTATATAGTATGTAGTGTGTATCTCCCAGTCATGCAGGTTATTGAACGGGGAGAACATAGATGTATAGTGTATGCAGTATGTATATTCCAGTCATCCAGGTTGTTGTACGGGGAGAATATAGATGTATGGAGTATGCAGTATGTATCTCCCAGTCATATAGGGTATTGTACGGGGAGAACATAGATGTATATAGTATGCAGTATGTATCTCCTAGTCATCCAGGGTATTGTACGGGGGGAACATATATGTATAGAGTATACAGTATGTATCTCCCAGTCATCCAGGGTGTTGTACGGGGAGAAAATAGATGTAAATAGTATGTATCTTTAGTCATCCAGGTTATTGTACAGGGAGAACATAAAGGTATAGAATATGCAGTATGTATCTCCCAGTCATCCGGGGTATTGTTTTAGGAGATCATAGATGTATAGAGTATGCAGTGTGTATCTCCTAGTCATCCAGGGTGTTGTATGGGGAGAACATGGATGTATAGAGTATGCAGTATGTATCTCTTAGTCATCCAGTGTAGTGTTCTGGGAGAACATAGATGTATAGAGTATACAGTATGTATCTCCTAGTAATCCAGGGTATTGTACGGGGAGATCATAGATGTATAGAGTATACAGTATGTATCTCCCAGTCATCCAGGTTGTTGTACGGAGAGAACATAGATGTATAGAGTATGCAGTATGTATCTCCCAGTCATCCAGGTTGTTGTACGGGGAGAACATAGATGTATGGAGTATGCAGTATGTATCACCCAGTCATAAAGGGTATTGTACGGGGAGAACATAGATGTATATAGTATGCAGTATGTATCTCATAGTCATCCAGGTTATTGTACGGGGAGAACATAAGATGTATATAGTATGCAGTATGTATCTCCTAGTCATCCAGGGTATTGTACAGGGGGAACATAGATGTATAGAGTATACATTATGTATCTCCGAGTCATCCAGGGTGTTGTACGGAGAGAACATAGGTGTATAGAGTATACAGTATGTATCTCCTAGTCATCCAGGGTGCTGTACGGGGAGAACATAAATGTATATAGTATGTATCTCCCAGTCATCCAGGTTGTTATACGGGGAGAACATATATGTATAGAGTATACAGAATGTATCTCCCAGTCATCCAGGGTATTGTACGGGGAGAACATAGATGTATATAGTATGCAGTATGTATCTCCTAGTCATTCAGGGTATTGTACGGGTAGAACATAGATGTATAGAGTATGCAGTATGTATCTCCCAGTCATCCAGGTTGTTGTACGGGGAGAGCATAGATGTATAGAGTATGTAGTTTGTATCTCCCAGTCATCTAGGTTATTGTACGGGGAGAACATAGATGTATATAGTATACAGTATGTATCTCCTAGTCATCCAGGGTATTGTACGGGTAGAACATAGATGTATAGAGTATGCAGTATGTATCTCCCAATCATCCCTTAGAAATTGTTACTGACGCCATCACTAGTTTGTCCACACGTGTGGAAATTATACCACTGATAAATTCCAGTTTTAGTAACTACAATCATGTCCTCCTTATTTTTTCGACAATTGTGACATCCCCAAATGAGACTATCACAGATTTTTTGCATGAATTAGCAACACATATATGTCACATATAGAGTGGAAAAACGGGATATTCTGACAAATCATATATTGAGTTTACAATGAACTCTTTTTATTTAAAGTTTTCGTGATTGAGGATTGTATCAAGTCATGAGTCAACATGATCAATTTGCTTGAAAATGTATGCTGTTGTTGTGATTGATGATTGAATTAAAGCTCCCTTTAAATTATGAAATTGTATTGATTTGTCTTTCTATGAGACTTTAAAAGATGAAAAATGTTCACCCTCTAGGGTCTGCTTAAATAGATTTACTGAAAACTTTACGTTATTATTGAGGGTAATTAAAGGAATTTTACTTTTGATTTTGAATATTTCATGCTTTGTCATTTTACAGTTACGTGACCTTAACCATCAGATGTAAGTTGATGGTCCACATATCACACACTAGGTTTAATATGCTTTGAACAAATTGATACAAACTTTACACTGTTGCTGGGATTGGTGAAGTCTCTCTTTTGATTTAAACAAAATTCTGATCTGATGTTCCGGAGATATTGTCCATTTATCATGTTAACAGTCGTATTTTTGGCAATTTTTATATGCCTTAAAATATCCTTGTGCAATTTTTATGCCCCATTTATGTGCATTATGTTTTTCGATTTGTGCGTCTGTTCGTTCGTTCCTCCGTCCGTTTGTTCGTCCGTCTGTCCCGCTTTAGGTTAAAGTTTTTCAGGTTAAAAGTTTTTGGTCAAGGTAGTTTTTGATGAAGTTGAAGTCCAATCAACTTGAAACTTCGTACACATGTTCCCTATGATATGATCTTTCTAATTTAAATGCTAAATTAGAGTTTTGACCCCAATTTCACGGCCCACTGGACATAGAAAATGATAGTGTGAATGGGGCATCTATGAACACATTCTTGTTTTCTATAGGGCTGTTTTACTGACTTCTGATAAAAAAACTTTCCGAATATCATAATTGGTTCTTGCAGGAAGTTCACTATGAAAAGGAGATACAATAATGCACTTATTGCATAGCTCTTGATTAGCACACAGGAATAAAACAGACAAAGTGGTAGTGTTTTGTCTTTGCAGAAAACACAATACGACATATAGGGACCTTATTTATTCTGTTGAGGCATATGTTATGGTTTTGTTAACAATCATTCAATGCATTTGGCCTTGAGTATGTCTGTTGATGATTATTTAAAAAATATGGTGGTATCAGTTTAGCATTAGCACATTATTAAACCAAAATAAATCTTTATTGAAAATTATTTATTTGAGTGATATATAATATTTTACAGAAACGTATGATGCCTTGGATGTTGTTTACAATAAGGTTTTAATGACCTCAGTAGAAGAGAATGAAAGACAAGAATCAGAAAAGCCAGAGGAACAGCTTCCAGGTTCAAATCCTGTTAGAAGAGATGATAATGTCATGACAAGTGGCCCCTCCCAACAGCCTCTAGCAGCCAAATCTGTGTCACCTAAAATGTCTTACAGTGTGTCCCAGAGAAGACCAGAGTTTAAAACACACATGAAATCGAAAATGACAAGAGAAGAAATAAGAAAGAAAATGGAAAAAGTCCTTAAAAGTGGAAACTACAAGATGAAAGTTGGAAGACTGATTTTTTGGGACTTCGGTGGACAGTATGTCTACTATACCACACACCAAACCTTCATGACTTTCAGAGCTTTGTTTCTCGTGGTATTTGATGGAAGCAAACAATTGCATGAGCTAGTCCCAGATGTTCTATGTTTTCCAGGGCAGCACATGACACCAACCCCAGCAGGTACTGCATGTTAGTTACAATACAAAGACTCATATTGAAAATCTTATGTTGTTTACTATATTAACAGTCAGTGGCGTTACTTAAACAAGTAATTTTTTTAAGTTACTTATAAAGGTAATTTTTGTTTTTTTTTTTAATAATAAAATTACTCAATAGAGATATTTTAAATTTCAATAGAAACATGGTCTAATTGTAGTTTTCATAAATCTTTACACCATTGTATATCATAGAATTGATAATTCATTAAATGTGAGAGGAGTATAGAGATAAAGGGTTACTTTAAAAAAATTGACAAAAATATAATAATATTACTTGAATAAGTTATTTTATACATCTTTGAAATTAAATAATTAGTAATAACGCGTATTTAAGGAACATATGTCATTGCTTTGGGTTACAAATCATAAATAACTTCAATTCTTAATTGATTCACAAGTTTATATCTATTTTTTTCTGTCTACCAAATTGATTTTCAAGGAAAATGATGTTTTAATTAAGACCCAGAAGCCTCGATATGAAAGATAAGTGTGTCAGAAAGGCAATTACAGTTTGAGAAGGATTAGATTTTATATTTCATAGTTAAAATATCCAGATGACTCTAAAAATTTGTTAAAGCTTGTAAAATTTGTAAAATTGTACACCTTTAAAAATAATATGTAGAAAAGTTACTTATATAAGTAATATTTAAAATAGCCTCGTTTTCAACATTACTTGTATAGGACTAATTAAAAACATCTACTACTGCATCAGCAATAAAAAAAACTTCAGGGTTACTGTGACAAGCAAATCTGTCCAAAGAATCAGTTGGATTTTACCTGTCATTTAAGATTTTGCAAAGTGTACTGTCCCATTGAATAAATACAATAGCTATTGTTATCTATGGATTTCATTCAACATGTTCAAAGGAAACTCTTAATTTCTCATTGAAAAATATAATTCATTATGATGTACAAAAAAACTACCAGTGATAAAAAAAAAACATGAAAACTAATAAATGACACATATTGTCAGAGCAAGAAATATATAATAATTACAAAATTATATTTATAAAAGACAATTCTATTGAAATCACATTGTAATCTTATTTGGTCAGATCAAGACAATTTGGATTCATATAAACTAGTGATCAAAATACATGTAGCTATATTAAGTACACTGGGTGTATGTTGTATTTCTTCAAAATCAACTAACTTATTTCTTTTGTAATGATAATCTGGTTTAGTGGGTAAAAAGATTGTATGAGAAAACTTGATCAGCTTAAGTTATATAACAAATCAAAATAACCAGATATAATTTATTTGCAATATGCACCATTTAAAACAAAATTGTCTACAGCTTCTTCAAATTTGTTTAAGCTTTTATATATTTTTCTTAATTGATTCTCCTCGAAAAAAAATTATTTTTGTGAAATTGGAAAACAATTATGGTAGAAACTTAGCGTTTGTGAAACATCTTTTAGTACTAGAATTTCAAAAGAAATATGGGTATTATATGTAATTGTCCCCTGCACAAAGTGTTTTGGGGGATATAGACATACTGGGCATCTGTCCATCTGTCTTTTCGTCCCATCTCGTTAGCACTCTCACGTGTACAATTATTGCCAGATTTTTATAAAACTTGCATCGTAGATTTATATCAGAAATGTCCAGGACCATTTTGAAAATCAGTGCCGATGAAATATTTCTAAAAGAGTTATTCCCCTTGGAAACACTAATTAAAAAAATTGCATCGATTGTGCACTCATTTGTACAATTCTTTTCAGATTTCAATGAAACTTATATCATAGGTTAACATCAACCATATCTTGGACAAGTTCGAAAATCAATGCCGATTAATAATTTTAAAAGAGTTATGCCCCTTGGAAAGAGTAATTATATCAGAAAATTTTATTGTGAGTGCTCTCACAGGTGTACAATTCTTACCAGATGTAAACGAAACTTACGATTTATATCAACAATATTTTGGACAAGTTCGAAAGTCAGTGGGGATCAGTTATTTTTAAAAGAGTAATACCCCTAGGAAAGAGTAATTATATTGGAAAATTTTATTGTAAGTGCTCTCATGTGTACAATTCTTGCCAGATTTTTATGAAATTTATATCAGATTTATATAAGCAATGTCTTGGAAAATTTCGAAAATAAGTGATGATCAAATATATTTAAGGATTTATGCCTCTTGGAAATATTAACTATATTTGAAATTGCATTGCATTTGCTGTCAAGTCTTTATTTCTCCAATTTATTTATAAAATAAAATTGATTAACATAAAAAGTGTTTTTCTTTTTAGAAATTGCCCTTGGGCCTTGGCCAGATAAAATATGTGCAATGCGGGGGACAGTGGATGTCTTTATTTCAAATGGATTTCCTTCGTTAAAAATTATCTGTCAGCCACCTTTTTAGCTCACCTGGCCCGAAGGGCCAAGTGAGCTTTTCTCATCACTTGGCGTCCGTTGTCCATCGTCCGTCGTCTTCGTCCGTCGTCATTAGCTTTTTATAAAAATCTTCTCCTCTGAAACCACTGGGCCAACTTTAACCAAACTTGGCAACAATCATCATTAGGGTATCTAGTTTTAAAAATGTGTCTGATGACCCCGCCAACCAATCAAGATGGCGGCCATGGCTAAAAATAGAACATAGGGGTAAAATGTAGATTTTGGCTTATATCTCTGAAACCAAAGCATTTAGAGTAAATCTGACAAAGGGTAAAACTGATTATCAGGTCAAGATCTATCTGCCCTGAAATTTTCAGACAAATCTGACAACCTGTTGTTGGGTTGCTGCCCCTGAATTTGTAATTTTAAGGAAATTTTGCAGTTTTTGGTTATCTTGAATATTATTATAGATAGAGATAAACTGTAAACAGCAATAATGTTCAGCAAAGTAAGATCTACAAATAAGTCGTCATGACCAAAATTGTCAGTTGACCCCTTTAGGAGTTATTGCCCTTTATAGTCAATTTTTAACAATTTTTCGTAAATTTTTGTAATCTTTTACAAAAATCTTCTTCTCTGAAACTACTGAGACAAATTTAACCATACTTGGCCATAATCATTATTAGGGTATCTAGTTTAAAAAATTTGTCCGATGACCCCGCCTTCCAACCATCATGGCCGACTTGGTTAAAAATAGAACATAGGTGTAAAATGCAGTTTTTGGTTTATATCTCTGAAACTAAAGCATTTAGAGCAAATTTGACAGGTGGCAAAAATGTTCATCAGATTTAGATTTATATGCCCTGAAATTTTCAGACGAATCCGACAACCCGTTGTTGGGTTGCTGCCCCTTAGTTAGTAATTTTACAGAAATTTAACAGTGTTTTGTTATTATCTTAGATATCATTATAATATCTAATGTCTAATACTATTTATTATGATTTTAACCTTATTTTACATGATTTCCAAAGCATTAGTAAATACAGGTGAGCGACACAGGCTCTTGAGAGCCTCTAGTTTTGAAATGTTGGCCAAAATACACAAAAAATTGATAGTCCGCTTGGATTTTAAAGAAGCTATGTCTTCAAAACTGAAATTTTCCTGACCAGTGTCAAAATTTACAAAAATTGCTACCCAATATAATGTATTGCTTTATTTTTTCATCAGTATCAATTATGACAATACATTTTCTAGTTTTATTAAACTTCTATTTTATTTTTGTTGTTTTTATATTTCAGTATTTCTACAACATTGGGTTAACTCAATCCTAACGTATTGTAAGGTGGTATATGTAGGCATTCCGAAGATCTTGTTTGTTGCCACCCATAAAGACAAAGTACCAATTGTAAGTAAAAAAGATATAGATAGGTCTTTAATACAGGCATTTTAAAGAACTTGTTTGTTGCCACTCATAAAGACAAAGTACCAATCTTTTTTCCGTGTCCATTTATTTATTTAATGTTCTTAATAAATTGTAACCATTAAAGACAAAGTACCAATGGTAAATAATTTAGATGTAAACAGGAGGCTGATCAAGTCAATCTTTTCCCATGTCCAGTTATTTATTTATAGTTCTTAATTAAAGATTCAGATTGTCTTTTATTCATTTAATATGACATGGTTAATTTTAACTCATGGCAAAATTCTTGTTCAATGGGTCATAATTGTTTTATTCTATTTTTGCGCCTTTCCCAAGTCAGGAGCCTCTGGCGTTTGTTAGTCTTGTATGTTTTTTAATTTTAGTTCATTTATATGTTTTGGAGTTTAGTGTGACGTCCATTTTTACTGAACTAGCACTCAATTTTATTGAGGGGCCATCTGAGGACCACCTCCGGGTGCGTGATTTTCTCGCTGCATTGAAGACCCATTGGTGGCCTTCGGCTGTTGTCTGCTCTTTGGTCGGGTTGTTGTCTCTTTGACATATTCCCCATTTCCATTCTCAGTTTTATTGATTCATATGACTAATAATAGATATTTGTGTTGGTAAGTAAGACTGCAGCCCAACATCATAAAAACCAAAGAACTTTAGCAGTCAACATACAGCTATCAACAATAGACAAATATATTTACGATTTATATTTGGCATTTATAAGCTAATGTAACCTTAGAATACATTTAACTGTATTGAGAGTAAGTAGCATTAATCTTCAATATTTTGTGCAACAAATGTACAAGGTGAGTGATAGCCTGTGTACTATACAACAAATGTACAAGGTGAGTGATATCAGGTGTACTATACAACTAATGTACAAGGTGAGTGATAGCCGGTGAACTATACAACAAAAATACAAGGTGAGTGTTATCAGGTGTACAATACAACATTTGTACAAGGTGAGTGATATCCAGTGTACAATACAGCACATGTACAAGGTGAGTGATAGCTGGTGTACTATACAACAAATGTACAAGGTGAGTGATATCAGGTGTACTATACAACAAATGTACAAAGAGAGTGATAGCTGGTGTACTAAACAATAAATGTACAAGGTGAGTGATAGCTGGTGTACTATACAACAAATGTACAAGGTGAGTGATAGCTGGTGTACTATACAACAAATGTACAAGGTGAGTGATATCAGGTGTACTGTACAACAAATGTACAAGGTGAGTGATATCAGGTGTACTATACAACAAATGTACAAGGTGAGTGATATCAGGTGTACTATACAACAAATGTACAAGGTGAGTGATATCAGGTGTACTATACAACAAATGTACAAGGTGAGTGATAGCTGGTGTACTATACAATAAATGTACAAGGTGAGTGATATCAGGTGTACTATACAACAAATATACAAGGTGAGTGATATCAGATGTACTATACAACAAATGTACAAGGTGAGTGATAGCTGGTGTACTATACAACAAATGTACAAGGTGAGGGATATCAGTTGGACTATACAACAAATGTACAAAGTGATTAATATCAGGTGTACTGTACAACAAATGTAAAAGGTGAGTGATATCAGGTGCACAATACAACAAATGTACAAGGTGAGTGATATCAGGTGTACTATACAACAAATGTACAAGGTGAGGGATATCAGGTGCACTTTACAACAAATTTACCAGGTGAGGGATATCAGGTGTACTATACAACAAATGTACAAGGTGAGTGATATCAGGTGTACTATACAACAAATGTACAATGTGAGTGATATCAGATGTACTATACAACAAATGTACAAGGTGAGTGATATCAGATGTACTATACAACAAATGTACAAGATGAGGAATATGAATTGTACTATACAACAAATATACAAGGTGAGTGATTGCCAGTGTACTATGCAACAGATGTACAAGGTGAGGGATATCAGGTACACTATACAACAAATGTACAAAGTGAGGGATATCAGGTGTACTATACAACAAATGTACAAGGTGAGTGATAGCCGGTGAACTATACAACAAATGTACAAGGTGGATGATATCAGGTGTACTATACAACAAATGTACAAGATGAGTGATAGCCAGTGTACTATACAACAAATGTACAAGGTGAGTGATAGCAGGTGTACAATACAACACATGTACAAGGTGAGTGAAAGCTGGTGTACTATACAACAAATGTATAAGGTGAGTGATACCAGGTGTACTGTACAACAAATGTACAAGGTGAGTGATATCGGGTGTACTGTACAACAAATGAACAAATTGATTGATAGCCAGTTTACTATACAACAAATGTACAAGGTGAGTGATATCAGGTGTACTATACAACAAATGTACAAGGTGAGGGATATCAGGTGTACTATACAACAAATGAACAAGGTGATTGATAGCCAGTTTACTATACAACAAATGTACAAGGTGAGGGATATCAGGTGTACTGTACAACACATGTACAAGGTGAGTGATAGCCGGTTTACTATACAACAAATGTACAAGGTAAATGATAGCCGGTGTACTATACAACAAATGTACAAGGTGAGTGATATCAGGTGAACTATACAACAAATGTGCATGATGAGTGATAGCCAGTGAACTATACAACAAATGTACAAGGTGAGTGATATCAGGTGTACTGTACAACAAATGTACAAGATGAGTGATAGCGGGTGTACTATACAACAAATGTACAAGGTGAGTGATAGCCGGTGTACTATACAACAAATGTACAAGGTGGGTGATAACCGGTGAGATATACAACAAATGTACAAGGTGAGTGATAGCCGGTGTACTATACAACAAATGTACAAGGTGAGTGATAGCGGGTGTACTTTACAACAAATGTACAAGATGAGTAATATCAGGTGTACTATACAACAAATGTACAAGGTGAGTGATATCAGGTGTACTATACAACAAATGTACAAGGTGAGTGATATCAGGTGTACTATACAACAAATGTACAAGGTGAGGGATATCAGGTGTACTATACAACAAATGTACAAGGTGAGTGATAGCCGGTGAACTATACAACAAATGTACAAGGTGGATGATATCAGGTGTACTATACAACAAATGTACAAGATGAGTGATAGCCAGTGTACTATACAACAAATGTACAAGGTGAGTGATAGCAGGTGTACAATACAACACATGTACAAGGTGAGTGAAAGGTGGTGTACTATACAACAAATGTATAAGGTGAGTGATACCAGGTGTACTGTACAACAAATGTACAAGGTGAGTGATATCGGGTGTACTGTACAACAAATGAACAAATTGATTGATAGCCAGTTTACTATACAACAAATGTACAAGGTGAGTGATATCAGGTGTACTATACAACAAATGTACAAGGTGAGGGATATCAGGTGTACTATACAACAAATGAACAAGGTGATTGATAGCCAGTTTACTATACATCAAATGTACAAGGTGAGGGATATCAGGTGTACTGTACAACACATGTACAAGGTGAGTGATAGCCGGTTTACTATACAACAAATGTACAAGGTAAATGATAGCCGGTGTACTATACAACAAATGTACAAGGTGAGTGATATCAGGTGAACTATACAACAAATGTGCATGATGAGTGATAGCCAGTGAACTATACAACAAATGTACAAGGTGAGTGATATCAGGTGTACTGTACAACAAATGTACAAGATGAGTGATAGCGGGTGTACTATACAACAAATGTACAAGGTGAGTGATAGCCGGTGTACTATACAACAAATGTACAAGGTGGGTGATAACCGGTGAGATATACAACAAATGTACAAGGTGAGTGATAGCCGGTGTACTATACAACAAATGTACAAGGTGAGTGATAGCGGGTGTACTTTACAACAAATGTACAAGATGAGTAATATCAGGTGTACTATACAACAAATGTACAAGGTGAGTGATATCAGGTGTACTATACAACAAATGTACAAGGTGAGTGATATCAGGTGTACTATACAACAAATGTACAAGGTGAGTGATAGCCGGTGTACTGTACAACAAATGTACAAGGTGAGTGATAGCCGGTGTACTATACAACAAATGTACAAGGTGAGTGATAGCCGGTGAGATATACAACAAATGTACAAGGTGAGTGATAGCTGGTGTACTATACAACAAATGTACAAGGTGAGTGATATCAGGTGAACTATACAACAAGTGTACAAGCACTACAAACCAGTAAAAGTCTGAAATGGCCTATATCTGTACTCGACTGTACTGATTTTTACTCGACCAGTCTGAATTGGTCTGAATTTTACTCGACATTACTCGACCCCAGTCTTAACCGTACACGACTGTACTGATTTGTACTTGACTCTTATCTTTGCCATTGAAAATAGTCTGAACTATTACTTGACCAGTCTGAAACAGTCTTAACCCATTCTCGACCTGTACTCGACCTTTTTTTTCAGTCTAAACCATACTCGACCAAAGGTCTGAACAATACTCGACCAGTCTGAACCATACTGGACCAAATAACCTCTAGTTTTTCTAAATTTTAACTGTTAAAATAAATTTCTTTTTAACTGACATGACAACAGCCACAATAAAATAAAGATATGTTTTAAAAACAGATTTTTACATTCTTACATGATTTTCAGGTTTATCGAATAGAGATAGTTAAATCAAATTATCTTATATAATAATTTATTTATATCAATTTTAAAGTTTTATAGTTTTGTTAAAAAAAAAAATTCTTTTACCTAAAAACCACACCTATACTGAGGGTAATTAAACCTTATTAAGGTGCTTCTTGTTTGGCATGTGATTTTTTTTTTAAATTAATTTTCCTAAATTCCTAAATAAAAACTACACAGGTTTCATGGTTACATATAAAAAATGTACAATATAATTATCTTTTAATAAGTTAACAACAGCCAACAAAATCACTGAAATTGTTTAACCTTATTTTAGAAATATATCTATTATTATAATTTGGGATAT